AACGATGAGCTAAAATTAGCCAAAGACTGGCTGAAATGAGCAAAAGATGAGCTAAAATTAGCCAAAGACTGGCTGTAAGAATCAAAAGACGAGCTAAAATTAGCCAAAGACTGGCTGAAAGAAGCTAAAGACGAGCTAAAAGCTCTAATTAGAAGACGGAACCATTGTGTGTTAAGTTCTTCTAAGGAACATTTTGAACACGTCTTCATTTATTGTTTAACAGTGAAATCGTTCTTGTTTTCAGAAAGTGAACAGATGAAGATAACGGGAAGTTTCAGCTCTGTTCAAACAGCTGAATCGTTTGTGTCAAAGGGTTTAAAAAGAATGCCGACGCCCAGAAGCTCCCGTCATGTGTTCCTCTCACATGACTGTCGACTCATGTCTGTTTCCGTGACTCAGCAGATTTCCTGAACACCATGACTCGCTGACGTTCGGCTGATTTCCTCTCCGGCTCAGACGACGGCCATGCCGCTGCCGAACGGATGCTCCATCAACGCCGAGTCCCCGGAGGAGAGCGACGACGCCAAGGCTCTCGTCCAGGACGACGTGGGTCAGTTCACACGTCACTCTTTGACTTTTCACTCCTGTTAAACTGGAGTCTGATCAAAGCTGCATCGAGCCGAACACACTGCAGCGTCAAAGCTTAACATCAGCTGGAAGCACACCAGCTGGAATAACACCAGCTGGAATAACACCAGCTGGAATAACACCAGCTGGAATAACATCAGCTGGAATAACACCAGCTGGAATAACATCAGCTGGAAGCACATCAGCTGGAATAACATCAGCTCTGGAGCTGCTTGAGTTTACTCCCATGTCTTGCAGTCAAAGTTTACTCGTTACGCGAGACGTTAACGAGCGCTCTGCCCCTCAGGTGTGTGCAGGTAAAAAATCACCCGTGTCAGAAATAAACCGACAAACAAAACGAGGCACAGATGGAACATGTCATTAAAGGAACATTCTGTTAAATTTGAGCAGAGGTCTGTAACACAAATTATTCATTTTACCCACAATCTGGATCTTAATTTGAAAAAACATCAGAAACAGGAACGTAAATTGTTTTTTAAGCAGCTGAAATGACTGAACTTGGATTAATCAGCTGATTTAGTGTTTTATGGGAGTTTTATTTAATTTAGTTCAGCTGAAGCGTTAAAACATGTTTCCCTCCTGACGGCTTTGTTTCCTTGATATAAACATGTATATATTTGTGCGCGTCAGCTCTGATTCTGCTGTAAAATTTGACGCCAGACACCAGATTATTTAACTCCTGCTGCCCTTGGGTCACAGCCTTTGGGTTGTGCTTCAGCTGATACCGAGGGCGTAACGAGACCCGACACGAGACGCCTCGATCTTCTGAATGAAATTCATATTTGTGTCAGAAATTCTCTGAAAACGTCTCCTCCACTTTGTTAAAAGTGCTGCCACGCAAACAGTTCAAACGGGTCGGGCACTAGGACCACGCGGAACCCTGAGGAGCAGCTTCTGCAGCTACGTGCTGAGAGGAAGAGCCTCTGCCAAGCCATTGTTTAAAACAGAAGAGTTCACACGGTGCTCTGTCGACTTTAAAGCTGAGAAATTAAGGTCTGGACTTCTCGTTAATCTGAGTTCAGAGGAAACGAGTCGGTCAGAGGTGGAGGTGGATCGGACCGCACCGTTGATCCATCCCAACGTGTCTGATTTACTGACGTTAAAACGTCTTTAATGGAAATAAAATCACTTTTCTTCTGGTCAGAGCCTGCGGTTGTTTTTCTTTTCATGTTGTTGCTGGTGTTAATCCTGAATAATCTCTGGGTTCTGGTGTCGTCTGGACCAGCTCCTCCTCCGTGCTGCTCGGCGCGCCTCAACCTCGCTGTCCTCATGTTCCTCGGCTTCTCCGTGGTCTACGGCCTGCGGGTCAACCTGAGCGTGGCCATGGTGGCCATGGTGAACGCCTCGGACCCGTCGGTGGACAGGAACACGTCGGTGCCCCCCGCCTGCCCGGTGCCGTCGGGCTCCAGGAACAGCAGCGGAGCTCTGCAGCAGCCGGAGGGGGTAAACGCCGCTCAGACGGGTTTGTTCCGTGTTCTCTGTCCCTCCCCTTGACTCTCTGCTGTCCGCCCTCAGACCCCCCAGTACCCGTGGGACTCGGAGACCCAGGGCTGGCTGCTGGGGGCCTTCTTCTTCGGGTACTTGTGCACGCAGATCCCTGGGGGGTACCTGGCCGGTCACTACGGGGGGAGCAAGTTCCTGGGTTTGGGTGTGTTGAGCACGGCGGTCCTCACCCTCCTCACCCCCCTGGCTGCGGGGTGGGGGTCCAGCTGGCTGTTCGCCCTGCGAGCGTTGGAGGGGTTTGGAGAGGTACGGTCTCATCATAAACATTATTTTTACATCAGATTGAACTGAGTCAAAAGTTTTGTGATGAATTCGTCCTGTGGATCCATGAAGCTCCTTTTGAATAAACGTTTCAAACACTTGAGAAACAGCTGTGGCCAATCAGAGCGCTCGTCGTGATCATGTGATCAGTTCTGTTTTACTCGTCCGGCGAGTTTCTTCTCGCCACTCTCGTTTAGTTGCTGACAAAGTTCAAATTTCTCCAAAACTTTTAACTTAAAACTAAATTTTGTTCGATTTAGTTCTGAATGTTTCGGCGTGAATGTCGGTTAGACGAGTTTTTAATCTGAACGCGTTCCCTCGACCACAAACTTCACACGAACTGTTTTATTGTCTGAACGTTCATGAAGCATTCACTTTGTTGTCGTCCAGTTTAATTCCGTACGTTTTTCAGCCTCGTTCTCGTCCCGCAGCTTTTCAGCTACTTCAACAAATCCTGAATCAAAACGTTCGGCTCTTTCAATCCTGCTGTGACTTTTGGGTTTGGTGCAACTTTAGCTGTTTGAAATATTTAGCCTTTTCAAACATTTTTTCCTCGTAGAAAATGAACTGAGCTCATTTTCCATCCTTCACATCTTTAGATCTTTTACAACCTTTTACTGCTCCTTTCACTTTTTGTTCTGCTTCAGCTTCTTTCAGCTGCTTTCAGCTGCTTTCAGCTGCTTTCAGCTTCCTGCTGCAAATCTTAAAATTTTTCAGCTAATTTCAGCTGGTTTTTTTATCAATCAATCAACCTTTATTTATACAGGTAAATCCCATTGAGCCTCGAGGACTCATTTACAAGAGAGACCTGATTTCAACAAAGAAAGATGACAACAATGGACAACAGCAACAACAATAAGCAGTTATAAAAACTCATACTACAGTTTTTTTTTTTGTTTTTTTTTTTTAACAAATAGGATGGCTAAAAGGAAAAAGGTAACAAAACCAAAAAAACAGCTAGATTCCAAGACAAATGTATAAAACTAAAAACAGGAACATGTCTGCATTGGTCCCTGCCAGGAGTCCAACAGATGTTTGAAGCCACTTAGAGAGGTCAAAGGTCGAGAGCTTCAAATCTTTTTGTAAGATATTCCAGGAAACAGGAGCGGAGTAGGAGAAGGTCCTTTTGTCTAGTTCAGTCCTCACTGAGGGAACACTGCAGGTAATAATGTCCTGAGAGCGCACGCTGTAGCTGCACTCACGCAGAGACATGTAGGAGGAGATGTATGAAGGCAGCAGACCAAGAAGTGATTTAAAGATGAAAATGTACCAGTGAGAGAGTCTGCGTGAAGTTAATGATGTCCAGTTAACCAGTGAATACTGGGTGCAGTGGTGGGTACGATAATCACAGCCAGTTATGAATCTTAGTGCACCATGATAGACAGCATCCAACATCTGCAGCATCCAACATCTGCAGGGTGCTTGTAGGAGCGTTCATGTAAATAATATCACCATAATCAATGGAGGGAAGGAAAGTCACAGATACAAGGCGTTTTCTAGCATTCAGGGTTAGACAGGATCTGTTTCTGAAAAAGAAACCCAGTTTAACTTTCAGTTTCTTTATCAAGTTTTCCACATGGAGCTTAAAAGAGAGATGTGAGTCGACCAAGATACACAAATATTTATAGGAATCAACAAACTCAATGGGGACACCATTTGAGGAATTTTAAGCTGTTTTGTGCTCCTTTCAGATTCTTTCTGCTAACTACATGTTTGTTCCAACTTCTTTCTGCTAATTTCAGCTTATGTCTGCAAGTTTCAGCTTTTTCAGCTTTTTCTCATTTCAACCTTTTTCAGCCTAGTTCAGCAAAAATGTGTCTCTCCACTTCCTTCTAGTACCTTAAGCTGTACCTTCTGCTGTTTTAGCTACTTTTCAGCTTTTTTATTTTTTACTTATTTTAGCTTTTTCCAAATAATTTCCACTTTTTTGTGCTAATTTCTGCTTCTTTCAGCCAAATTGAGCAAACATGTTCTTTCTGCTAATTTAAGCTTGCTCTAACTTTTTAGCATTTTTTAGTTTTTCCTGGTAAATTTGGCTACTTTCAGCCTAATGAACTTCTTTCAGCTTTTTCTGCTCTTTCAGCTACCATTTAGTTATTTTGATGCTAATTTTGGCTTTTTCAGCTGATTCTACCTTTTTTGAGCTCATTTCAGTTCTTTCTGATTCCTTCTGGTAGTTTAAGCTTCTTTTTGCCTTTTCAGCTGTTTTTCAGATATTTTGTGCTCATTTTTTCTTATTTAAACCTAATTCAGCAAATATTGGTTCTTTCTGCTACATTTCATCATATTTATAACTTAATTTCAGCTGTTTTTATTTTATCAAGTTGTTCTGCAATAAGCCTTCACATCTTCACATCTTCTGTAGTTTGGTTTATCATTTTTATCTTTAACTTTTAAAATTTGATGGAGACGTTTTGTGTAAACATGTTGTTGTTGTTGTTTTCAGGGCGTGACGTACCCGTCCATGATGGCGATGTGGACTCGGTGGGCCCCCCCTCTGGAGCGGTCCCGCCTCATGACCCTGTCCGGCTCCGGGGGCAGCTTCGGGGCCTTCGTGTCGCTGCCGCTCACGAGCCTCATCTGTGAAAAACTGGGCTGGCCCGCCGTTTTCTACCTGTGTGGTGAGCGACCCAAAGAGCGCCAGACGAGTAAAGTTCTGACTCCCTGCTCCCTCTGACCCGTCCCGTCCTCCTGCAGGGGGCGCCGGCTGCCTCTGGTTCTTCTTCTGGTTGGCCTTCGTGTCCGACGATCCTCGCACTCATCGTCGAATCAGCGAAGAGGAGAGGGATTACATCGTAAACTCCATCGGCGCTCAGGTGGGACGACCTTAAGTTCAACATGTCCGCTGCAGTGCGAAGTTTGGACTCTTTGTTCTGAGCTGGTCTTAATCCCTTCAGGGAACGGGTCACGGCTGGTCGGTGCCGCTGCTGTCCATGGTCCTGTCGGTGCCGCTGTGGGCCATCATCATCACTCAGATGTGCTCCAACTGGACCTTCTACACGCTGCTCACCTCCCTGCCCACCTACATGAACGACGTGCTGCACTTCGACCTGCAGTCGGTCAGATTCAGATTAGAGATTAGATTAATGTGGATTATCTTCCATAACTCCAGCTGCTTCAGGCTCGTTAGACGGGCGATCATGCAATTACCTCTGCCGTATTGAACGACTATCGACTCTGGTTCTGTGTGCGTCAGAACGGTTTCCTGTCCGCCCTGCCGTACCTCGGGAACCTGCTGGTGTCGCTGCTGTCGGGCGTCGCCGCCGATCGCCTCATGGAGAGGAAGGTGTTCAGCACCACCACCGTACGCAAACTCTTCACCTTCACAGGTGAGAGCAGCACCTGGTGAGGCGCTTCCTGTCTGCAGCCATCCTGAGCTGAACAAGGAAACGGACGCGTTCTTGGGTTTTGGACGAGTTCTGGTGTAAGACGTCTCGGTGACGACGAAGACGCTGATCTTAAACTTTTCTAAAGCGTCAGTGACGAGAAGAAAAGAGTTTGAGTTGGTGACAGAACGAGTGAGAATGATGAGTCAGCATTGTTTTCTAGCTGATTAATTTTCTACTTTTATTGGTATAATTTCATATTTATTATTAAACAATTATTAGATTTATAGTTATTAAAAATTACTTTGGCTGCAACAAAATCCACAGACAAAAAAACAGATTTCTTTGAATCCTTCAAATTTTGTGGAATCTGCTTCTTCAAAAACTTTAGCTAGTACTCATACTGCTAATGCTAATGTTGCTAATGCTAATACTACTACTGCTAATGCTAATGTTGCTAACGCTAGTACCAGTTTTTCTAATGCTAATGTTGCTAATGCTAGTACTAGTACAGCTAATGCTAATGTTGCTAATGCTAGTACTAGTACTTATAATACTAATTCTGCTACTACGTGTACTACAACTAATGTTAATTTAGCTTCTGCTTTTACTACTACTACTCATACTAAATGTACTAATACTACTACTACTGCTGATGCTAATTTAGCTTCTGCTAGTACTAGTACTGCTAATGCTAGTGTTGCTAATGTTAGTACTTATATCGATAATACTAATGTTGCTAATTCTAGTACTAGTACAGCCACTGCTAATTCTGCAACTTCTTGTACTACAGCTAATGTTAATTTAGCTTCTGATTTTACTACTACTATTTATACTAATTATACGAATACTAATACTATTTTTACTACTGCTAATGATAAATTTAGCTTCTGCTAGTACTATTCTGCTAATGCTAATGTTGCTAATTGTAGTCCAACTACTGCTACTGCTTGTACTCCAACTAATTCTGCTACCTCTAACACTTTTACTGCGAACGCTAATCTTGCTACTGCTAATATTCCTACAAATGTTCTTAGTGCTAAAACTATTATATCTAATCTGGCTATTGTTAGCGCTACTACTGCTCATGCTAATACTGCAATGCAAATTTTAGGTAAAATAGTGTCTTTTTGTACTTTTAGCAGCTATTTATGTTTAGGTCTTGACAGCGTTTCAGTACTTTAGCTATCATTTTGCTAATTTTAGCTTGTGTTTTGTACATTTACCTTTCAGCCCAGTTTCAGCTTCTTCTTCCATCCTAATCATTCTCGGCTCAGCGTTCAGAAGGTTTAGTCTGTTTTTCATCTCCCTGCAGGCCTGCTGCTGCCGGCGGTTTTCCTCGTTCCTGTCGGCTACGTCGGCTGCAGCCACATCCTCACCGCCACCTTCCTCACCCTCTCCACCAGTTTAGGAGGAACCAGCTCCGCCGGAGTCTTCATGAACCAGATCGACATCGCCCCTCGGTGGGTTTTGAGTTCTGAGTCGGCTCGTCTCGCCACTCGTTAGCCGTTGTTTTACCTGTCGAGGGGGAAAAAGTCGTTTCAGCTGACTCTCGGCTACTACCACACCAAATTTTAGCTCGTATCTATAAAACTGACTGAATTGTTGATAGTTTTGTGCTTTTAAGTTCAGCTGGCTGTGGCAGCCATCTTCAAAATATCCTGATGCTGATCAATAATCCAGGTAGAAAAATCTAAAAAGTTAAGTCTGGTGAATGTCCAGAGGACCAGACTTAACGTTTTAGACATGTTCAAAGTGTTATCTATACGTCCAGTAAGAGTTTACTTAAACTTGTCTCAGTTCTTGAGATATTTTGCTAACAGACTGACATGCATAGTACTAGAGTACCATCCAAACACTCGATCCCCAACACGTTGTCATTTTTATTCCTTTCTGCTCCTGCTAATAAAAAGTAAAGTCACTTCCTGCTTTAACATTCAGGCTCCGCCTCTTTGATTTTATAGCTGCGTTTTTCAAAAACACATTTTGTTCCTGTTTTATTCAGAAATTGAATTTATTGAGTCAGAAATCACTTTTTAATTGGCTCGTTTGTGTTTTACACTAATGTCTGCTGAAAACATTTTGGTTGTTTTTGTTAAATAAAGCCGTTTCATAATAAAAGTAATTCTAATAAAATAGATGTAGTTTTGTTTTATTGTTGAAATCGGCCTGAACGGTTCTTGTCTGTCCCCTGGTGGTGAAAATGATGTTTTAAAGTGGAGCAGTTGTGACTTTATTCTTATTTCTCGACTCCATATGATCATAAATTTATTGCTAAAAACAAATGATCCGTTTGTTTTTAGGTTGTTTTGCTGCTTTCAACCCATTTTATAAATCCAAATCTAATTTAGCTCAAATTCTACATCTCTGATTGGAAACTTGATGCTCGGTGGTGTGTGGGCGCTCGACTCAGACAGATGGGAGTAATTTTATTCATGAAGGGCCTTTAAAAATCAAACACAAATGATAAAAGCCAAAATAGAATCAGAAATAACAGAATAAAGTTAATGGCGCCCACAGCTTGGAGAGCTTCCTGTCTGTTTTTCAGACCTGGAAGCGTCTGCAGCTCGAGATGATTCATGGTCTCTCTTTGTTTCCGGTTGTTTTTCCAGGTACGCGGGATTCCTCCTGGGAATCACCAACACGTTCGGGACGATCCCGGGGGTTATGGCGCCGATCGTGACGGGATATTTTACTGAAGACGTGAGTCTGAAGAGTGAAGTATTTTGCTTTGTAACAGAAACCGAAGCCGTTGAAGCTTGAAGGTTCTCCTTTAGCAGCAAGAAGTCTGTGTCGTGGTTGTGGAGGACTTTTGGCCCACTCCTCTTTAACATAAAGATGAAGCGTCTGTAACGGGCCCAAACATCGGACCCACTTCCAGCTGTAACGTTTCCTCCGTCTTCTCTGTCGTCAGCACTCGCTGGAGGGCTGGAGGAAGGTGTTCTGGGTCGCCGCAGGGATCAACGTCGGCGGCGCCATCTTCTACACCCTGCTCGGCAGCGGGAAGGTCCAACCGTGGGCCGACACGGAGGAGAATCGGGCAGAACCGGCCAGGACCAGGACCGTGGTGCTGTAAAAATAGGAAACCCAGCAGCAGCTCAGAGTTCAGGGACGTATAATTATTGGTCCAATCACAAATCGATTATCAGTTTTATAAGATGAACCTTCAGGTTGAACCAGGACGTTAGAGATTAAGAGACGCAGACGCTAAAGTCCCAACAAAGTCCTGCTGATCACAAGTGGGATTACAGGAAAGATCACTGGAGGCCCGGATTAGAAGTTTTGCACAGTTTTATAAACCGTTTCTGTTTAAAGTCTTCCTAAAGACGTTAAACCTCCGGGAGCAGAAGATCCGAACCCAACCTGTGGTCGTTTCTGGAGATTAACCTTCTGACGCTTTCATCCAGCGATGGAACCGTCGGTCCGCGGTCCGGACCATCAGAACCAGCAGATTATTGGGATCCTCCATTTTTCAGAACGAACGTCTTCCAGCTCGTGGTAGAGATTTAAACCACATGCTCAGGGATCAGAAAGTTAATTATTGTTTGTTTGTTTGTTTGTTTGTTTACCTCATTGTTGTGTCAGAGGGTGGACAACGAAGCAGAACAGTCCGGTTCTGTTTGAGTTCGCTCAACAGAACCTTAAATCCAAAGAAAAAATGGGCACTTTAACGACGGTTCTGCTCCTTACGGACCTTTTATTGATTTAAAAAAAAAGAAGCCGAAGTTTGTAGCGAGCGCGGAGAGGTCGTCATCTCGTACCGAGTTTAGTTTCAACTCTAAATTTAAATTAGCTCGGATCAATAAACTCATTCCTCAGATTAAAGCAGGTTTAATTTGTGTTCTAATCTGTGGAGGATTAACGCTCAGCGGTTATTCGTTCGTGGTTAATCTGCATCGTTTTCATGTCGAACTTAATCTGAAAATTTGGTCAAGAAAATGTAAATGTATTTGAGTTCTGCTCCTGTTTTTGGATCAATTCAGTGGAATCGAGCTGAAACAGCTGCGCCGGTTTAGCTTCAAAAATAAAATCTAACGTCTGATTTCAGGTCGCAGACTTTAAACCGCAAATTGACAGATTTTTCTGGCTGTTTGACATAAAATGTTTGAGTCAGATTTAAATCCTAATCTAGATTTTTGATTAGCTCGATCATGTCTGCTTCGCCTGCAGAACAAACGGACACAGGAAATCTTTGTTTTTTAATTTTTATCTTTATTTAGACGGAGCAGCTTCAGTTTACAGTTGTTGTTTTGTGACGAAGGACCAAACTTCACAGAACAGGAAGTGAAAGTGTCCTCGACTTGTTTGTGTTTGTGCTGTGTACAAACAGGAAGCACTTCCAACTGAAGAGGAAACGGCGAGCGTCGGCTGCGTCGCTTGCGTCGGCTGCGTCGCCTGCGTCGCCTGCGTCGCCTGCGTCGGCTGCGTCGCTTGCGTCGGCTGCGTCGCTTGCGTCGGCTGCGTCGCCTGCGTCGGCTGCGTATTCTATCATGCACTTCCAACCAGCAGCATTTAAACTTTAAAAATTACTTTAAGGTCAAATGTAAAGTTTCTAATTTTGTTTAGGAGTTCACTTTGTGCCTTTTTGTTGTTTTCTTCAAAAACAAGTTAGATTTTTGTCTAAAGAATCAATTTGTGCGCTCTGCAGACTTTTTTCATTGAAAGAAAATGCACTTTGTTCGGACGAGATGTTTGTAAAGTGTCAAAGTTGTTGAGATAAAAGTGTCTGGAGTCGTCACGACAACTAAAACTTGTTTGTGTTTATTTAAAATGGAATGTTTGACACTTTATTTAGTTTTTTAGGGTAAAAAAGACAAAAAAACTAAATGATCTAAAGTAACATTGATAAAATAAAAACATCTACGGATTTTATATACATTTATGTAGCTGAATATCTTTTTAATAAACATCCATGTTTTTTAAACTATTTAAATTAATAATTAATACAAAAAATTAAATCACAAACACGAATCGACCTCTAGATGGTGCAAGAAAATAACGTGTTTGAAGTTTAAGTTGTATTCTTGTGCTTTAAACATTTAGTAAAAATATAAATGAATAAACTGTTGTCACTGGTAGACCAGTAAATAAAGAAGCTGAAGCAGTATTTTAGGGGGAACAATAAAACGCCTGATTTGTTCTTGATCATATCCAACGAGTCCTGATGATCCATAATCCAGGTAGATGAACCGGACTGAGTGGGCTCCTCTGGACGGACGATCGAACAGATGTTTGGAGCAGGAACATCAGGAACATCAGTTTATCTAAACGATCAAACGGGATCGTCCTCCGTTGACGCGTTGCAGCCGCTCCGTCCTTCAGTCGGCGTTCGAGGCGACAACAACCGGTCGAAACGTTTCATAATCCCGTCTTGGTTTTCTGAGTGTGACGAACTCGTCTCCTGCTCAGCACGGAGGCTGTGGAACAGGCGACGTCCTTCAGAAGGCCTCCGCCGAGAAGATCCACGGGTCGTAACAGAGTTCTGCTTCTGCCGTCTCAGCTCTGAGCCCACAGCTACACACCGACCTGTGGTCCTGAAACCCAGCAGAACCAGAACCAGATGGGCTCAGCTGCTGGTCCCACCTTCTAAACTGGCATCTGAAAAACTCCAGAACGATTTGACCTTTGAACGGTTTAGTTACCAGAACTAGAGAACTGTGACACGTCACACGTTCTCCAAAGATCTAAAGCGGAGCTGGATTCAAAAACCACTGCAGACCAAAGATTAAACGTGTTTGTTGCCAACAACTTGATCCGACATAAACAAGGTTCTTACCAAAGGTTCTCCTGAACTTTAATCAAAGGTTCTCCTGAACTTTAATCAAAGGTTCTCCTGAACTTTTATCAAAGGTTCTCCTGAACTTTTACCAAAGGTTCTCCTGAACTTTAATCAAATGTTCTGAACTTTTACCAAAGGTTCTCCTGAACTTTTACCAAAGGTTCTCCTGAACTTTTATCAAAGGTTCTCCTGAACTTTAATCAAAGGTTCTCCTGAACTTTTACCAAAGGTTCTCCTGAACTTTTACCAAAGGTTCTCCTGAACTTTTATCAAAGGTTCTCCTGAACTTTTATCAAAGGTTCTCCTGAACTTATACCAAAGGTTCTCCTGAACTTTTATCAAAGGTTCTCCTGAATTTTATCAAAGGCTCTCCTGAACTTTTACCAAAGGTTCTCCTGAACTTTTATCAAAGGTTCTACTCAAGTAATTTGAGCATGAACATTTACCAACGCATCCAAACAATCAGCCTCCGTCCAACCACTCATTCTGTCACTTTGGCTGTTTCTGTAGGTAAACAAACACGCTTCGGCTGTTTCTGTAGATA